GGACTGTGACATTGGGATATCAATCAAATAAACCTGTTCATTACCTGAGTTGCTTTTGGTTAGAGAATTCAATCACAGCAACAGAGAAGAAACTGGAACAAAAAATGATACCTCAAATGTGATTTTCTTGGTGCAAAGGACTTGGAATTCTTAGGCCTGTTCTTCCTATCCTGAATTGAATTGTTTTGTTATGTAGCCCAGGAAGGCTATCGATTCTTTGCAGCTTTCCTCTAAGTTTCTGAGTGCTGGGTTATATGTCATGCACTCCTATCAGTGATAAACAGGGTTAGATCACAAGAGTGAGGTTTACTGCTTCTTGTAGACTTAGAAATGAAAGTGGTTCAGCCAGTGAGAGGTATTTAACAGAATGGCAGAGACTGAGGGAGGGCATTTGTTCACATTCATTGTGCCATTCACACAATTGGAGAGGTGATATGGGGAACTGAAAAAAAATACTCAACAAGTGTGGAGTAATGGTAACCAATTTGACTGCTTATCAGGATTGCAAAAGGGAGCTTGCTACAGCTTACTCAACATCATCTGAGTTACTCTGAATCATACAGTTAGGAGACAGAACCTAGAGAATGGAATTTTAAATAAAATGGTTTAATGTTGGTATTTGTAATTTGTAGCTCTAGAGTTTCACAGAAGAACTATCTACTTGGCATCACGTGGAATCTTCTGACTAGAGGGGTTATTTGCTAGTACATTTATTCTGTGGTTTTTAATGTTTAAGACTTCCCCATCACCTGCCTATACAAACAGATGATGTTAGAATTTGTATGTATCTTAAATTGTCAACTTTGTCCTGTAGCAAAGGCATCTAGCTAATGTTTAGCATTAGAGAAGTTTCAAACTGGTGTTAGCAACTGCATAGACCAGTGGATATAGTTAATTTGGGTAATTGTAGCCACTGTTGCTTTAGATAAAATTATTTTAAGCACTAAAATACTCCCTACTCATAAAGTTGACCTAAAATGGTTCAGGAGTAAGCCTGATTTAGTTCTTGAATGTTTGAAAAACAATCACACAGGACAGGATATTTGCATACTTTAGTGCCAATACTTATTTTGTAAAGTGTATTTATATGTATTTTTGAGATTTTTGACATGACTCATCAGGTCAGAGCATACTCCTTTACAAGTACAATAAGCTTGTTCTTGGGAACCCAGGGTAGAGAGAACCAAATACTGAAAGTTATCCATTGGCCACTACATATGAAGTATAGCATGTATGTGCACTCACACATCATACAGACACACACATTATACACACCTCTCACTCTTTCACATAAATAATACACACACAACATACATATAAACACACACAAATAAGCACAGACCACTCAAACACAAACACACCCAAAACAAATACAAATACACACAAAAACATAAAGACACACAAAAAACATTCACAAGCACAAATATACACTTACCACATCAACCACACACACAAATACACACAAATACACACATACACACACACACACACACACACACACACACACACACAAACACATGCACCCACAAGGGAACTTTCAAAAACAGTATTAGTATTTAAAGAACACTTAGGATATATATACTGAATAAATTTACACAAGACTGGATTTTTTCTTCAATTTATTATTCTTTATTTGTATAACATAACAGCATGTTCTCAAAAGTACTGACCTCATAGAACTAGTCTTTTCTGGTAGCCATAAAATAAATATTTGCAAAGTATGAAATACTTTGAAATACTTTGGATCCTATGAGGAGAGGTTGCCTAAAATATTATTGCATTTAGTATTAGTGGTTTAGAAGAATCATTTTGAATCTTTATCAGTACCATAAAAGGCTGTGCTTGTTGAAGACACTTAAATTTTAAAGACTCCTTAGGCTTAAGTAATATAGGACTTTAATATTTTGATGTATTGAAAATATACCTTGCTTTGATTTTTTTTGACACGTTCTTTCTATGTAGCCCTGGCTGTCCTGTAACTTGCATGTAGACCAGGCTGACTTTGAACTCACAGACAGATCCTCTTGCTTCTGACTCCCAAGTGCTGGGGATGAAGTCTTTAACCAGCATGCCTGACCTTTGTTTTAGGTTCTTTGAAACAGTCTCAATATGTATCCTTCATGTACCTGGCATTGCTGAGTAGCCCAGGCTGGCTTCAAGCTCAGAGATCTGCTTGACTTTGACTGCAGAGCCCTGGGATTAAAGTGTGTGCTGCCATACCTGCTTGAGATCCTTTTTATGTGACCACTAAATGACAACGTTGGTTGAGCTTTGACAAAGTAGAACAGCACATGTAGGCTAAAAATTTTGGGCCAGACTTAACTTATTTAGGGACATGATCTTTAGTGGGCCATGGTGGCCTTCAATTCCATATTCACCTCAGGATGGCCTTGTCTTGATGCTCTTACCTCCATACATGCCACCATCCAGCTTATGATTTGTACATGTAAAATGTGAAAATGTTGCTCCTTTTTTTATTTCATATGTTTGATTCAGAGTTGAAGAATAATATTGTTTTTCATTCTGGTCTGTGTGATTTATGTGTGATTTATGGCCCATGTCTACACAAATTAGTTCAAAGCCATTATTATTACTCAGCTTTCCTTTTAAAATCTTATTTGCTGCTCACTTCCTTAGAAATACTTGTTCGACATTTGAAAATATTTTTTCCTTTGGTATGATGTTAGTAAATATATAAAGTCCTTTGCCTAATAAATCTTTTGTACTAGTTTTTACTTCATCTGTAGGTTTTCTCACAGTAGGATGATTGTGCTGTTAGATGACTTACTTTCTTAGTTTTTAAGGTGTTTTTTTGTTTCATGTATCCTGTCTTTCAATAAAGACTCAAGCTTTTCTTGTGGATACAACTGACTGTATGTGAGGAATTGTCTTTCTTTTTGTTACAAATACTAAAAATGCTTTAGCTAAATTACATTTGCCCTGTATAACAATAAGTCTTTACTCCAAAGCTGCCCAAGCCCTGCTTCCACTTGGGTGCTTTCTGCCCTGCAAGGCCACCCAAGTTCTGCCCACTGCCACATTAAAGTCCCAAGTAACACACAGAGACTTATGTTAGGTACAAATGCTGCTTGGTCAATGACTAGGATTTCCCATATGCTAGCTCAGTCTTAATTATCATAAATCTCTTTATTTTATAAGACTTGTCTTATAGAGGATGCCTTCTGCTGGCGCCCTCTCTTGCTGGCGGATCACATGGCGAATCCAGAGCAGAGACCAGGAAGAAGAGAAAAGGGAACGACTTCCTTCTTGCCCTTGCTTATATATGAGTGTCCCTGCTATGTCACTTCCTGCCTGGATCACCACATCTTTACTACATTTCCCAGAATCCTCCTTAACTCCTAGTTCCGCCTAACTTGCTACCTCATTGGCCAAACAGTACTTTATTTATCATCCAATAAGACAAACACATACACAGAAGCACTTCCCCCATCAGCCCTTTTTTCAGATTTTTAATTAATTAATGGATATATTTGAGCTACTTTTGCTGGGTAGCTTTCCAGGATTTCATCTATGTAGACCAGGCTGGTCTCACACTTGGGGTAACCCTACTACATTCCAAGAGCTGGGATTACAGGTATGTGCCCAGTAAAATATCCTTTATCTTCCAGTTATTTTCTCCCTTAATATATGCCTAAATTAATGATTGTGTATTGCAGCAAATGTGAAATCTGCTAACCAATGTAGCTCTTGTTTACAAGTAGACAGTTATTGGGATGGACATTTCCTGTTCTTCAGTTGGAAGTTAAGATTTTTGAATTCAAATTAGTTAAATTCAGGATACATTTTCAGTCCTATGGAAGTATGGAAAGATTATATGTATTTAAGTGAAGCTATTATTTCTTTTCTAAAACAGTAACAATGTACCAGGAATGTCCAGACAAATAAAAAGTAAGGAATAAAGTTTTCTTGCAGTCTCAGAGTATGTTCTTTTAGGCCACTGCCAACAGGTTGTGCTCCTTGTAGGGACCTTAGTGCCTTGCTTTGTCACAGCACTAGACCTGCTTAGTCAGCATGGCTTTTAGGATCAATCAGTTTGGTGTTTGCTGTGAATGTAGGGGCCCTAGGTTAATGAATGAGGTGACAAAGAAATTAAGCAGAATTAAGACAGAATCCAAAAGTGCCCTTGTCTCTAATTCAGCCAAATAAAACGATGTGTGATATCCTGGTGCTTTTTTTTTTTTTTAATAAAATAACATCTCTAATGACTCTGGGAGTTTACATCATGCATTCCAATTCCATTTTTTCTTTTTCTTTTTAAGAATAAAAGTACTGTGACTCCCAGTCTGGCCTAGAACTCTCACTATAGACTAGGCTGTCCTAGAACATCAGAGAGATCTGTCCATCTTGACTCCAGATTGCCTGAATTATAGTTCAGCATGTCACTAGACAACTTGGTTCATTTAATTGGCTTACTGAGGATGAGTGACTGAGCCTGGCTGGTTAAGGTAGCCAGGACACAGGCTCTGGTCCTAACTCCAGTAACAGAAGAAGGTTCCCATCAAACGCAGCTTTTCTGCCTTAAAGACCACTGTCTTCCAACTATGAAGAATATTATTTTTCCTTATCATTGATTCTGTTATAACTCATCAGAGTACCTGGGAAGAGTTCTACCTTGTTCTGCAGATGTTGAAACCCAGGCTCACAGAGATAAGTGGATTTTGAATATAGTTAAGTGCAACTACTTCTCATGTTACTCATCCCATCATTCTAATGCCTCACTAAGTGAAGTTGAAGCCTCCTAAGCCAGGCATGGTGGCAAGAGGCCTGTGATCATGTTACTTAGAAAGTGGAGGCAGGAATTTCAGGATTTCAAAGTCATCCAAGATGAAAATGGTCAATGGGGTAGGGTGGGAGGACCATAGAACAAAGGAAGATTGTGACGCGTCTATTTTTGATAATATTTTCTATTCTTGATAATGTTTCCTGAACAAAGGCAGCCTAGATCACTTTGTGGCCAGACTCTTTTTTTTTTAAACAGGGGAGAGCATGAACGCAGTCATGCTATTACAAATTATGCAGTCAAGTTTCCTGCATTTGGGGAAATTGCAGGGGTCTGCACATCCAGAGTGCAATGGATAAGCCTCGCCCTGGGAAAACCACCTTCTTGATCATGTTATCTCCCCTGTGTGGCCAGACTCTTACTGCTCATTAAAGAGTAGAATTCTCCTACAGTTGGCAGAATTAGCCTCAGGCAGGTATGAGCTTCCTAATTGCATATCCAATACAATGTGTTCAGTCCTCAATCCATATACACACAACCGACAGAAATGGGCTCAAAAGGTTTTGTTTATATATTTGTGCATACATATTCACATGTTTAACAGGAAAGGAATTTGAAGGGAAGAATATGGGAAGGGATGGAGAAAAGACCATAAGGGAGAAATTGATGTAATATATTTTAAATAAAATGTATGAAAATAAATTGTAGATAAAGAAGCTGCCTAGAAACATAGCTTAGCAGTCAAGAGCACTTGGTGTTGTTACAGAGGATACAGGCTCCTTTCCCAGAAACCATGATAGCTAGCCAGCTTCTGTAACTTGAGTTCCATGGGATCTGCTACCCTCTCCTGGCCTTTGCAGGTACTGTGCACAGATGCCTGGAGGCAAACACCTGTATACATTAAACAAAATAAAGCTTAAAAAATGGAATTCTTTACAGTGGTGTCACAGCCCTGACACAGACAGCAGGCAGTCCTAGTTAAAATAAACTCCTGGTCCTGCATGAAAGCAACTGTGGCCTTTCTCTGAGGCATCAAGCTCAGAGGCAAAAAGCAGCTGTATTCTGAGGTTAAAAATAGCTCAGCAGGACTGTTCATCTAAGAACAGCATCCGGAGTGCTGATATGTGACTTTTCCTTGATGATTTTATATTTGTGTTCTTTTAAATGTATTGATACATCTTTATGCTGTAGATCATAATTTATGATCTAAAAGATAGATTTTTTTTCTTCATGTAAGTCTTCATCTTTCTTAGTGGCTAGACTTGCAGTCTCCCGTCCCTATTTAAATTTTTCAAAGTAAAACCTGGGGCCTGATCCTAAAAGAGGCTTAAGGATGATACTGTAGATGGGATGGAAAATCTGTTCTAGACTGTCTTCTTTTTGTTGGTTGTTTTTTCTCTTTGAACATCTCTATCTTGTCCTTTCCCCTCACCAGGTCCTGTCACTCAGGTCTCCTTAATGAATCAGGGACTTGGGCAGACCTATGCATGTGATGGGAGGGTTCTTCCAGGATCCAGGGTTCTGAAGCCTTAGCTCCTCTGCTGAGGAAGTCAGAAGTTGGCTTGTGTGTCCTTGGCCTTGGACTCTGCCGTGGGTAGAACACTTGCAAGCCTGTCAGCTGCCCATGGTAAGCTAGGAGCTGCTGTCCCCAGATGGGAAGGAGTGGCTAGCCATGGTGAGTGAGGTTCCCTCTCCCCAGACTGAGAGTTGCAGTGGCCAAGGCTGAGACTAGGGAGCAGGTCCTCTCCCAACTGGGTGGGAGCCAGTGGCTAGATGCAGGTTGAGTGTGTTGCTGCCTAGTTCTGTGTGTCCTGTATGTCCTGTGTGGTCCTTGCAATTCCCTTGGCCAGGGTGACAGCCTTTGAATAACTTCACATTGTGGGCTTTATCTGCATAGTGTCATGGCAGAGCATTGTGAGTTGGACTGTGCTTAGAAATATTCTTGTTTTTGACATCCCTGTAAAATGCTGATACCTGTAGTGCTTATATTGTCATTATGGAAGACAGATTTGCCAAAATCAGAGTCCTGATCTCTCTAGTATCTTCTAGAAGTTCTGCACTTTTAACATTTAACATCTAGGTTCAGGATTTATCTGGAGTTAATTTGTATGGAGCTTGTGAATAGTTTAGCATGTGTAGAATAGCACTCCACTGATAAACTGTGATGTAGAAGAGTAGAATTGTCATAAAAATTAACCGTATTTTAGGAGATAATTAAGTTACACAAAGTAGAATTTAGCTAAGGAAGGGTTGCCCTCCAAATAGCCTAAAGTTATTTGACTAGTATGGTAACCACATCTGTTAGAGATTGATATGATAAAATGTAAATGTTTGTTCATTCACCAGAATTAAGCAGCCAATAAGTTACATTCCCACAATGGAGATAACCCTGATTTACTACCAGCCAAATGCCCCCTCCCCCTCCAGTCAAAGAACAGGCCTCTAAGGTGCTGCTCAAGGAGTCATTACAGGGTCACAACCAATATTAAATCCTGGTGTGCCATGAAGGTATATTTATTCTAGAACAGTTTGTCTGTCTTCGTCCAGATGTTTCAGTCTCCAGATTGTTAAGGGATAGTCCAGAAACCCAACTTTCCACTGTTCTCTGTCTTGGGTTCAATTGTATATAATATAGTAGCATCTAACATAAATTATCTATGATCATTTAAAAACAAGAGCCTGAATTTATGGATATCTGTGTAATGGTGGCACAATAAAACGAATTGGGTAATGTTCCTTCATTTCTATTTCATCAAATAATTTGAGGATTAAATTATTAAAGAAGGTTTAAACTCTTCTTTAAAAGTCTGGTAAAATCATGTGGGCCTGGGCTTTGCTTGGTCAGAAGATTTGTAATGACTAGTATTTTGAATTTTTTTCACTAGGGGGTTATAGGTCTATTCAAATTGTTTATGTGATGTTGATTAAACTTTGGTAAGTGGTATCTACCAAGAAAAATATCCGTTTCTTTTATAATTTCCAATTTGGTGGAATAAAGTGTTTTTAAAGTATTTCCTTATGATTCCCCGGCTTTCCTCATTTTTTGTTGTTATGTATCCCCTTTCATTTTTGATTTTATTAATTAGGATTTTCTCTCTGTGCCTCTTAGTTAGTTTGGATAAGAGTTTTCAGTCTTAATTGATTTTCTAAAAGAACCAAGTATATTTTCTATTGATTCCTTGTATTTTTCTTTGTTCCTATTTTGTAAATCTTATCCCTCAGTTTGATAGTTTCTTCCTGTTTACTCCTCTTGGTGATGCCTATTTCTTATTGTTCTAGAGCTTTTATGTGTGTTGTTAAGTTGCTAGTATGAGATTTCTTCATTTTTTCTTTTTTTAAATGTAGGCACTCAGTACTAGGAAGCTTCCTCATATCACCACTTTCATTGTGTCCCCTAAGCTTGTGTATATTGCGTGTTAATTTTCTTTTCTTCAGATTTTTTATTTGAATTAGAAACAAGATTGAATAACATGACAATCCCAGTTCCCTTCTCCCTCATCCTCCCCTATCACCCCCCAACTAAAACCCTACCTATCACATATCCTTTCTTCTATTCTTCCCCTGAGTCAACCTTTCTGCTCCCTCATGACCTCTGCATCCTTCCTCTTCTTCCCTTCTCATTCTCATAGCTCCCTCCCCCTCTTCCCATGCTCTCAATTTGCTCATGGGTTCTTGACCCTTTCCCCTTCTCCAGGGGACCAAGTATGTCTCTCTAAGGGTCCTCCTTGTTTACTAGCTTCTCTGGCAGTGTGGATT